TTGTGTAAGAAATTTATTATCCCTTTTGGATCTTACGTCATTCTAAAATTTTCATCTCTAAATACTGTGCATGCTTTTAAGATGATTAATTTATGAACACGAATCACGAGATGTCCTTTCGAAGTGTTAGGATGCGGTCGGTATTAATGCATTAAATATATAGAGAGCTATTTATTCGATTTTAATTAACATTACACTAGTATAAACTGAATTCCGTTCTATTTATAATTAATTATAACTAATTTAATATTATACCAATTATTAGAACTTTGTCAATGCAAATAATTAATTATGACCACAAATATGGTTAATTTTATATAATCAACAACTGCAGTTACATAAACCGCGATGTTAAAAGGATGATTATTAAAAATTCATCGTGTAAATAATTATCTTTATTAGCAATAAACGAAGAATGTGTATCTCTCGTGATATAATATACGATCACTGGTTAAATACTTAATTTTTCATTTCTTTCTGAAACGAGATCTTTGTCCTTCTTCTCCATGCTCGCGAGCGACCGATTATATATTTGAAAGTATTACGTTTGCGGTTGCCAGCAAATTTTGCTGAGACAAACAGAGTACGTGATAGTATCTACTTATCTAGTTTCAAAATCCTGAGGATAATTATCTCAAACAATTATGCTGAAATATTAATACGTCATAAAAAAGTTTCTCGTTTCATAGTTTCTTAAGTGATAAAGCGGCTTCCTTTGCGCGCTTAACGATCTTGTAGAGTTGCGGAGAAGTTTAACTGCCCTTCTCAGCATTATAAGTTGTTTCCCAGTTGGAGAACTCGATCGGATAGGAGAACTTTATTGATTGCGAATCGGTGCTCAAGTTTTTCCCAAACGTGAACGAGATGACATGAAACTGCATCTGCGAATCGTTCAATCGCGATCGATCGCTCGGTATTCCGCGTCGAGGTGCGATGACTTACTCTCGAAAAATTTTAAAATTAATTAAAAATTCGCATTGGTTTATACGCTTTTTGATGTGTCTACAACGTTCGAAGGACGAGGGTGTGAAGGAGAGACATGGTATAAAAATAAAGAGAGAGAGAGAGAGAGAGAGAGAGAGAGAGAGAGAGAGAGAGAGAAAGAGAGAAAGAGAGAAAGAGAGAAAGAGAGAGAGAGAGAACAACCGTAGAATTGACGCATGGATTCATACGTGAAGGTTTATTAGGACAGTAACGATGATTGCATTACATTCTCGTAACTTATGCGTGAGACGATTGGGCAAGAGCCTCAAAACAGAATAAGAAAATACATCCGCTGCTTTCAGCGGATACCGAAGTCGGTGCCCCGATCAATGGCCGGGCCTTTGTTCCGGGGCACGACTGCGATGCTTTCGGATAGTTTTAACCGCAGGACAAAGTTTGGAGCGCCCCAGGCGCAACTCGGATAACTCGACTCGTAGGTCCCAGTAATAGACGGTACGAAAGGATAAAAGTTACGTTTGTAGGACTTAGGAACGCACGCCGCTAAGCCGCCCTTGAACTTTCTGCCTGATTACGGGGCGTTCCAGCAATCCAGCAGTACATTGCTATCGGATTTCTGACATGATTTGCTCATCAGTTTCCCTTTAGGCGTAAATACGAAAATTAGCGATGGAAGAGATACACGATACTGTCCATAGGTTCGTGAACATATATACAATATATATATGTGTAACGATATAATATATATATAACGCGCGATACTTTAACAAAGAATCTTCAACTTTTTAAGTACTTTTTAGAAGGCTGCACTGTGTGTAAAGTTTCGCTCTTATCATTGTGACACATTAACGTTGAAATAACAACAGATATTTCTTTCGTTGATAATTTTCTCTATCGTTTGAATAATTACCACGTTTCCAAACTCATGGACAGTGGTATATCTTATAAAAAAAATTGTCGTAAATCCGTCGTTGCATTTATACGCATGTATTACAATAAATTAACTCTCAATCAATCAATTGATTACAAACATCAGTTTCATATGTGCAAATTAATGCAAATTTACACATATCATAAAATTAATCATATAATCAGATTATTTATACGTATATATGCATTACAGTAAATTAATAAATTAAACCAATCGATCAGTTGATCGCAAGTCATAAAATGAATGCCATTGTTTTGACGATGTATCGGGGGTGGATTGGTAACAGAGAATTTATACTTTCTCCGACTGTCAAAGCTGCGACCTACCGCTTTTCGTATTGGCTCTCTCGATTCGTGAATCACTAGTACGGTTTAAGACAGTATGGCTATGTATAGTGACAGCGGTTGAAACGGGTCGAATGTAACAATATTTACATGGTGATAGTTACATGTAAGCATTTAATAGTGCCAATTAAATATTCAATTTGCTAATAGTGTTACCCTCCTCTTTACCTTTTTCTTATTTTCCGTTAACGTGGAAACAACAGAAAACGAAAATGATCTCCAGTTATACATCACACACACGCAGTCTCTCTTGTTTCTCACACGCGACACGCAAACGCACATACAATAAGTCACATCATATGAGCATATACTCTCTTGCAAAAATCAATCAGAAACTTTTAGGAAAAATTTTTACCAACACATATTATAAACCTATTTAAAATTATAAAAAATATTATAAATCTATTTAAAAAGTACTCGACGTACGATAGAGTCTAACGTACACAATGACAGTATTGCTACCTAGTTATGTATCTATAGATACACAATTTGATATCGAGTTCATAGAAGTCCATTCTGATTCCTCACACTTGTATTATCTTCCATGCTGATTTTCCACACGTACGAGGACATGCTCGGTCGAGATCGAAATCATGCTTTTCGACATGATTTTGTGCAAATACGAATCAGGTATACTAAACCCACGCTCGACGTGCGGACAATTGTTAGAACACGACACTATATGGTTGTCATAATCGCTGTAGTAAGCTCGAGGGCCGAAACACCGGACCTATAAATTTCACTAACTTGTTCTTTTCGAAATCATTTTTTTGAGAAAGTGGAGGATCTTTACGTTATATATATTGACGCAGCGCGAGTGCATTCAACCGAATCTACAATGAGCCGAGTTCTCTCGTTTCCTATTCCTCAAGTTTTGTATAGCCGTCACATAAATAATTCTATAACAGACTGCACTCTCTGACGGGCACTATATTTACTCGTATCTCTATGACGAAGCAGCATCAACATCAACAATCTTCAAAACGGATATTATATTCGTTTCGATGTATGTACGCTAAAACGCATGAAATTAATTTTAAAGCAAACTGATATCTGTTTCGTTAATTTTTTGAGAACATAATGGTGCATATATATTCCAGTTGTATACTCGTACGAATTTGTCCTACAAGAGCTATATCAAGTTATAAGTATGAGAGTTAAATCCGTCTTTTAATCATTAAAATCTAATAGAGTTAACAATTTTATTTTGTAGTTACTTTAAATGTCTTTAATACAGATTTAATTCATGATTTAATTGCTAATCTAAAATAATATTAAAGAAATAGACAAATTGTACAGATAAAGAATGCTTATTAATTTTTCTCGATAAAAAATTGTTTCTTAATTTGTCAAAGTATTAGTTCTTAGTAGAGTCCCTCTAATAAGAGTCGCGACACGTAGCAGCAACTTTTAATTGGTTCGCATTTTCGGCAAAAGCACGAGAAACAGAGAGAAAGAGATGTAAGAAAGAAAGAGAAAGCGTTATGAATGTATATCACTTGTATATCGCTTTCTTTTTCTCTCTTATTTTGCCGAAACTCAAGATGTCGCGACTCTTATTAGAGGGACTCTAGTTCTTAGTAAAGGCTCTGCTTTAACGAAAAACTCAGTAATAATAACAGCGTATATACATCGTATTAATATCGTAAACTATTCAACTTTAAAGTGATAACAATTTAATTAATGTTAAATATTAATAACGATTCCGACAGAAAATTAGACTAAAATATATACATATTTTACCATAGTCAACTCTTGCTCATGTAATTATACCGATTTAATGAGAAAATTAGTTTCACTAAGGCGATTAGTTTGAATGCGATCGATTCTTTGCATCATACGGATAAAATACAAATTGGAAAGAATTGGTAGTTACCCGTGAGATCAAATTGTGTAATATTGATGCAGTCCACAAGCTCAAAAAATGTTTCCAAAATATCCCTCTTTAATCATCACTAGCCCGTAAATTCGGTCGATCACGTATTGCTCATTATTGAAACATTCATCGCCGAAATCGCTCAATCGAACGCGCATTTTTAAACAATCGGTAATCGCTCTCATATATTCCATTAAACGTGTCAATTACGTATTCTCACTAGATTTGAAATCCGAAATTTCGGATTATTATTTGCAATTTTCCTGTTAGTTACGCTTGCTCATTGAAATAGGCTTTTTCACAATAAATATTTAACTCTACGCTTTCTAAGTTTCCATGATGCGATCGGCGATCAATAGTATATCCAGGACCTAATTATCGATTACGAATGTTCGCTATCGCGAATGATCAGACTTATTTTCGTCTCTAATAAACTAAGAAAGAACGGGAACATCACAGTCGTATAGAGGATGTATAGTAAAAGTCCGTCCGTATTTGTGAAGGCGAATTTTTTCTACGGTATGTATGACTTTCGAGCAATATACGGACAGACAGTTACGATGACTTAAGAGATTCGTTCCCCGCGAGAGGAGAAAAACATTATCCATTGAACGAGTAAAATCAGGTTTAAATAATCGTATGATAAATGATCGTATGATTTTCTTTAAAGTCGGATCTAAACAAGGTGAACGAGCGCCAACAAACACGAACGAACAATTTGTTTCGATAAGTACAAACGGCGTCGCGAGTTGTTCATTCCTGTTTGTTTTCGCATGTTCGGTCAGGACCTAGGGCTTAAGAGAGCACGCGCTTAACTTAACTATTTTCCCAGTATCGAAAGAAAGATTGAGAATTAAAGTGCTTCGCAGCTGCGGACTTCCATTCAACTTTTAACTCGTAATTAAAGTTAAATTGTAACGATAAACAGAGAAAATGCATTTGCTTAAATCGAAACAGCGGCAACGAGTCGTAATGTTTTTTGCGCAATCACCGCGAAACAAAATTTACTTGTACTTCTTCGAAAGTAAGGATTCTTCTCGAAAAAGTTAATTGTCGACGGTAACTTATTCACGTAGGCTACTATCGGCAATTTAGTCACGCAGCCAATTAATCCCACTTCTCCTGTTTACGGTAACGAGGTTGCGACGAGTTCTCGACCAATGACATCGTCCGCACGGTCGTTTCTCTTGCACGCTGTTTAGATGTAAAAGTATTTTACCGCCGATGCTTTCTCCTCGAAATAGTCAACGTGACGCGGACGAATGGGATAGAATGAGAAAGGGTGCGTGGACAAATTTAAAACTTCGTGTCCCGGTCGGATAATAGACTTGAGTAACACACTCCCTCCCGACGAATTTGTCAACGAGGTCGTCACTTTCTTCGGTGAGCTGAGCTATTGGTGATTCTGGATGGCTCTCGATCTTAAAGTTGCGGTTCGTTGTAAATTGAGCCAGGACTCGTCCGCGTGGCCGCAGTGATGGCCTTTTCTTAGTGCGAACCTCTGCTGCCAATGTAAAGACAGTTCGTGAAGAGCAGGAACAGCAGCAGCAACGGTAGAGGTGAAGGCGCGATACCTTTAATACAAAGGAAAAACGATTTACAAAACAATTACTTTGACTTGTGCGCTCGATAATATAGTTTTTTTCGACAATATATTAACTCTTCTTTTTTTCTTTTTTCTTTTTTCGTAGTTGATCTCGCGGAGTGAGTCGCGCGATGCTATCGATTTGCGTTCTGGCCTGCATATGGAGCATGGGACCACGCGCGTGATAGCTCATGTTAACGATGGCATAAATAGTAATATACATATCGCACGTTTTGTTCGTGTTTACTTCTCGTGGACTTTTTTTTTATTGCCGCGCATATGCGGAGCGGAAAAAATGCAGCGTGGAGAGCCGTCGTGACGTAATAAAAACGCCGTAACATTTTTGCAACAATTGCATACGTTATGTGTACAATGCAATCCTTATGACCAATATAATGAAATACGCAAAATTCTTTTCCGGTAAAATCTTTACAAATGAAAAAGATCTCAAGATTCTGTAGCTCAACCGTCATATGTGAAACAACGTTAAATGTATTTCTTTATTTTTCTTCGAAAACGCGTTCCGAGAGCTTTCTCATTGTCCGCCCTTCCATTCAACCTTCGTATTTATCCATTTATCAAATTCGACGATAACGATCGTTTACAAACTGTTAACGAATCTTATTACGCCAGTTTGTTCATTATATGCAATCTCACGTTGGTTCCTGCGGACAAATATTGCAAAGTCGACGATACAATCTATAGAATATTGAAACGGCTGCTACACAATCTCGCGCCCTGCGGATGGCGAAAGTGGGGTGCGACATTATCGTTGATTGCCTATAAATACGCGTCTCATATCCGACCAAGTCCTATTTGCAATTTGCAATTTGTTTCGCAATAATAGTGGGCAATTTTAGTTGATCGAAACCGCTGTGACGAAAGTAATTCATATTATTTGGTTTCGTTAGATCAGTTTCTCAAACATCGCATAATATGCGAAATTTAATTTTGCATAATAAATAGTATTCGCAGTGCAAGATAAGAAGCAGATAAGAAGCAAGTCGAATCATATTATTACCTAAAATTCTTTTACGGACTCGATGTAGAACTCTTTTCTTTTAAAGATGATGCATTGGGAGATAACACAGTTTCAAAGAAGAATTATTAGCGGAATCGATGAATAACATCCGATTGATCGGATCAGTGGAAAACGACGCGGCATGTATCACACGATTCACATATACGTTTCGATCGTACAATCCCGCCGAGTTTGCACATTTTTCTGTTCTGCAATTGTTACCGCTCCAGAACGGCATTTAAACGGCGACCGAATGCTCGAAGATGTATTTCGAGCTATTAAGCCCAGCGGCACCGGCTACTCCAACCATTGCATGGGCGTGCAACAATGCACCAAGTTGTAACAAAAGTTTCACGAATCCGAGGTATTCGACCCCGTTTGCCAACGCGAAACGAGTGAATAACGGGCTTCTCTCCGCGCAATTCGATTTGACGGAACGGGCTAAAGTACACCGCCTTAATTCATTCTGCCTGCGCTACCTTTTCCAGGCCGCTTCTATCCATTTACGTTGCCGCGCGCGTGACTTTTCGCCTCCTCGAGAGAACGAGAATGCGAATGAACGGATCTCCGTGCAATTCAGAATAGATCCCTTCTACAGGGTTTTTACCGGTTTCTCTTGTCGGGCTTTCCTTTATGTTACAAAAGACTCAATTATTTTCCAGAATATCCGTTCGTGTTTTTTAGAACGTGTATAATGGCAGGAAGGAAAAATCAAGAGAAATAACTGTCATAGAAATTGCCAACAAGATATTTAAATGCCCGGAACATAATGACCATAATGTGGTCGTAGTCTAGAATGTACAAGTCAGAACTGTTAAGAGAAACTCCGTTTGGTTGAGTTTTCAGAGACCATATTAATTACATGCAGAGCTCGTCGCATTTCAAAAATTATATTAAATCTAAAATTCAGTTAAATTCAAATATGTTGTACTTTTAGTAGCTGTAATATTGCAGGCAAATCTTTTCTATTTTAAAGATTTCTTTCTCTCGAAAGCTTTGAAAGAGAAAAGATTTCTTTCTCTTCGAGATTCTATGTGTCGTATCTTCCAGAAAAAATCTTTATTCATCTGTTATTTTAACTATCTTTTTAGCTGCTTGATACTTTTCTATCTTAATTAAAATGAATAAGAACATTTACATTTACATAATAATGGAAATATGGGAAACTACAGTTTCTTTTGTAAATATATACGGACATATAACAAGCACTTCACTACGTATATATCGTGATATATCTACTGCAGTTATGTAACTCTACACACCACGGCTCACATTTTTCCATTTCCAATATCCATCGTAAATAATTGTATCATCGAAAGCGAGCGAAATGTATGAACTTGGACTTTTTAAAAATTCGCATAGATATGAACTTACGCGATGCGAAATAAATTCAATACTCTTGGAATTGGTGCCGTATTGCAATTTTTTAATTTTAACGATGTGTATCGCGTTTTCCATGGCCATATTATTGAGTGTTAGATAATAAACAGTAGATATACATATATTTGCTAAATGTAAATAATATAATAACGAGGTAGTAGCAAGGAAAATTTTGCATGTACCAGGAAGATTTTCTTGACAAGGCGCATTTCCTGGTATACCTTATCAGTCTCTTGAGATGATGGTGTTACGACTGCTTTAAAAAATCAGAAGCTACCTATGCAGGGAACGGTAAAGCAACGCCGTGATATAATTAATTAACTAATTTCACGAAAGCCTCACCATGCCGTGCCGATCCGTTGCTCGCAGGTATCTTCATCGTGTAATTTTCTTCCTCGTCCACGAACACGTAACTGGCATTAAAGCCCGTGGCGTCGAGACGATCGTTACTCTTGAACGTAACACGGAAAAACTTTCTGTCGCTGTAAACGTCGAATTCTTTCAGCTGACCACAGTGCCTCGGATACTTTCGGTCTCTGATCATATAGTTGGAGAATTCAACGTAATCGCTGGCTGACACAGCTTCGCACCTGAAAAATTCCGCGTTAACGATTGAATTTTTACTTTGTAGACGAGAAAAACATTATCGATGATTTATTTCATTAATCATCCACAAGAACTCAATAACAACGATAAGAACGCAATATTACAATTAATATATTGCATACCTTTGTAAGGTACATAAAACTTGTATAATATTGATTGTGACTTTTGGTCACTGCTAATACGGTTCATTTAGATAATCTCAATGATAAAGATAAAAGAGGAAAGCGTATATAATAATACTGTTTCCTAATTAAAAAATTATAATTTATTTTATAGTTTAAACAAATTAAAATTAACTGACGCTTTATCGTTAACATTTATATTACGTTTATTGAAGCAAATGAATGGTGAATTTTATAGCATACATATTTGTAAATACGTATATTTAATTGGATGTGTTTTCTACCATTTGGATATATATATATATATATATATATATATATATATCTTTATAAATATTTTTTATATTGTATTTTCCTTAAATTTACAATTATAAAAGTAGTTGTAGTAATAATATTATTATAATAACGTTTGATATATCGTAATGAAATATAATACCATAAAATATATCCATTTTCATCACATTTCGACAAAAGCTTTTTAGTTGTGCTTTAACTTTATGCATCAAGTTACAAACTGCATTTTTTAAATTAAATAAAATATTGCGAGAAAATATAGATTAACTATTTCTCTCTCTCTCTCTCTCTCGCACTTCTTGTATTCTCTGTGTTAAGATATATCAAGCAAAATAAATATACTGATTCTCAATGGATTATAGTTTGGGTAGTTAAACGACTCACTCTTAATTTCTCCTGCAAGCTTTGATAGTTCGGAAACTTTGCTGGACGTGCATTTCATTAAGAAAGTAATTTATATCTATCATATGCATTATCTCTTACCTGTCAACGAGATTTAGTTTCCGCTTTTTATATTCATGTAAAAATCAAAATTTCAAATGGAGTACACGTATCAAACTGTATATATTTGAAGATACAAAGACATCAAGATTATGGATTATTAAGCATTTGAATTGGTATCCGATAAGCTATTCAGCTTCTACGCAAGTCTACATTCTTCCTTCAAGACACGCCTTATGACATATGCAATACATTGATATATATATATATATATGCCCGATGAAAAATGGAGCAGCAAAAAGCTCCAACATCTACCTCTGGATGGAATATCGATAAAATTCGGATGACTCTTCTTAACAGTCTTCCTCGACTATCCCAGAGTAATAAATTGCGTTTATAATTCTTTCGCCAACAGTATTTCCATAAATAATTCAATTTCAGCCTATTATTCATATCATAATGCAAGTGTTATTTAAGTGCAGTAGAGTTACACGAGAAATATTGGCAAGATTTAATCTTTTACTTAATAATAATAATTTAACGTTGTTCAACAATATTAATATCCTCGTTAATATCTTAATAAGACGTCGCGTTGCGCTTAAGGAGAATGGAAAGCTATCATTGTTATATCTTTTATCATACAAAATGCATATTGAGTAGCGTAATAATATTCTATTACCATCTCATCGAGTATAATTAAGGGCGACCGGAGTAGTGTTGCCTGGCAGATAAATAGAGGCGATAAGTAAGATTTACGCTGCCATTCGGTTGTTGCGCAGCGACACATCCGCGGCGAGACAAACAATATATCGTCGCGAAAAGAAATATTGATGTATGAGTGATGAGGCTATTATCGCGGAGTGGAAAATATATATGGCAAATAGCGTGCGAGCGCACGCAAGAATGAGAGAAAGGGAGGGAGTGAGAAAAAATGAGAGAGAGCCCACGCTAGTTGGTCCGGTGACATAAGTGGCAATTCGGGTGATAGATCATCATTTTCCGGCACGTTTTCTTGAACGCGAGCGTAACCAAAAGCGTCTCGAGAACTGTTTACCGATGGTCAGATTTATGGCCGAGTATGCATCTTTTTCCTGTGCTCCTCGCCGCGTCTTGCCTCGCATCGCATCGCATCGCGTCGGGCCGTGCCGCGTCGACGTTGGTGAAATGCATTTACGAGTAAAGCACCGAAGGCGCACTTGGTCCAATCGAACTCTCGTTTCGTTGCACGGGGACTGGTGATATTTACGATTACCGTTTTCCGAAGTAGCACCAGGGGAAAATCTTCCCACGAGCGACTGGCACGGCTGGTTGATGCATGCGGCCGCGATAAATAGCGCGGCGAGACATTGCACGGCCGATGTTGGTCGATGTCGAATTATCAATTTATAAAGCGAGTCGCGTCACCGACCGACCGAAAGCGACAACACGAATTTCGCCAGCGAATTCTGCTCCGATGTTCTTTCGTCACGATACACGTTGTGGCGCCCGGCCGCCGGCCGTGGCGCCGTGTGCAACAAACGAGCGTACGCCGCGTTGTTATAAAATTCGACAGAAATTGGCGAAACATGATTAATTAGCGGCTTCCGGTAATGAACGTAGCGTTACGTTGCCGCCGGAATATTGATGGTCCTGCGATTTAATACGACCCAATTAGGAGCAGCTATCGTATGACCTCGGCACCCCAATCCTCCCTCCGTTTCCCTCTCGCCATCGGTCGTTTCTCGACCAGCACCCTTCCAGCACTATTTCTCTTTATCTTTCATGCGTATGTAGTAGTGTGTGTGTGGCTCTATCCCTTTTTATACATCCGTCTATCACATTTCGGCTTTCAATGTGCGCGGGGATTTTGCGTCACATCGTTATATTATATTTTCTAGAAATTACAGCATGTTATATTTCTTGTTACATGATAATGGGTAATATGCTCGTTAATAATAGTATGCGGCGTGGTTGACACGTAATTGCCTCTGTTTCTCGAGTATTAGTCGCCGAATCTTCATCAGGGCTTCCTTCATGTTTCAATAAGTAGCTGAGAACTTGGATGTAGTTCGATATAACGAGCTATTCCAACTCCCGCAAGGTCCAGAATTGAACCACTATCGATTCGTCTTCGGAAAGATTCTAATTTGCTTAAAGGCCGCGTTGTGTCTATTGAGTCTCAGATGCGATAGACGAGAGTCTACATAGATAGATAGAGAGAGTGTGGTAAACGAGTTTCCCGATACAGTTAAATGATTTATATGATTGCATATAAATAATAATTATATTGGATATAAATGCATCGCCTGGTTTTTTCGGTATTAGGGGAACCCCAGGCAATCAATTCGATTCATTATCGAGATATCTGAAGTGTAAACATTTCACTAGACATTAACCGCGATATTTTTATCGGTTGGTACCGAATTGTCATTATCTCCTTTTATCTTCTTTTCACATGTGAATATCGCATTATTATTCGCGTTAATTAATTTTCATTTCTCATTATTATATTTGTATACGGCATGCGCGCGCTATCGTTCGTCAGTGACGTTGATCGCCGACAATGAAAATACTCGCAATTTTCGATGCCGATTATTTAAATAAAGGTCGGGCTACCTGCTTGTATCGCATTTTCAAAACCTCTCGAAAAAGCAGCGCAAAAGGATTTGTTCATTCAACTTACGGTAACACTCCCTCGACGTCGAAGAAGTGGAAATGAAGGTGAACCTTCTCGTTAGATTGACCATAGAAGAAGTAGTAGCATTCCGTGCTACGAGGGTACAGGCCGGGGTAATTTGGCGACGCGAACGTACCGTTCCGGGTCTCGTTGCTGTTGAAAACAAAGGCACACGGATACTGCCCCTCTTGCCGACCTGTCGTTATACCGAAGTCTGAAACAGTAAAGCAGCATTCGTAAGTGCGCTGAAACGCTTGAACGGATCGATATTCGATATTCGTGCGAGTAGTGGAATGACTCGAAAGCATTTCTTTCTCGTAGTTTGACGATTTCTCTCTTTCAACTATTCCTTGGTCGTTCGAACGTTATAAGATTATTATTAATTATTACCGTGTTTATATCATCAGATAGGGAGAGAGAGAAAGAGAGAGGAAAAATTGATTCAATTTATGGTATTCCATTGCAACAGCGCGAAGAAGGATACGAATTTCTCACTGTTTTTTCGTCATCACAATTTATTATCCACGCACTTCATTATTACAGGGGCGTTTATAATCCTCTGAGCGGCTTAATAAATATTGACATATACTAATGGCTGGCTGCGCAACGTAATACAAATCATTGGCGGTACAATCGTGACAGTGTAATACGCCCGAGAAATATGAATAATATTGAAGTAATTACTAATATATTATTAATCGACAGCTTCAATGTAGGCAGCGTCGAAATCGAATATTAAAGCGCGAGTTTCGGTTCGCTCGCGCGTGTAAAGCCTCCCCCGCGATATCCCCGTAATTACCCCGGTGTAAAGCCTGTTCCCATGCTAGATTGCTTGCAAGGCGGTTTGGTGACAACGGTGTCTGAAAATAGGGTGTCCTGCATACGTGTTGCCGTACGCGCTATAGCGCAATGGTTTTCGTGGTCAGTTTCGATCGTATATTCGCCGGGTTATATCATCGATCGCGAATACGGGAGTAGGTATCGGTTAGCAAGATTTTTATTCCTAACTTCATTTTTCGTTCGGCGAAATGAAATCGATTCTCCTCAGTTTTACGTATGTCGTTTGTCGTAGCAATAAAAAATTGTCGCACATCCCATTGCTCGCGCGAGCGCACAACTTGATTTTTCAAATTCTGCCAAATTGCGTAAAGAACCGAGCTTATGCTTTCAATCGATCGGATTTTGCCGGACAAGAATTGGCAGACACCAGGATCAATCAATTGCCCTATTCGAGCGAAAAATAACTACGTGCAGGTCCATCCAATATAACATCCGACACGAACTGCCATACTGCTATACTGAATTGCATTTAATTCCACTTTTTTACGCCACAAAAATTACTTTATCTTACACTTTTTTTTCACGCGCGTCAGTACTATTCGATATAGTTGAATTTATTCTGGGCTGATCCCTACGCTGTCCCCTGCGATGAGCAAATCGAGTGGCACCTCGGACTGGCGCGCGGCGCGGCGGGACGTAAAATAATTGAATAACTCCTTGCAAACATTCCAAGCGTCCGTCGTTGACGCGACTTGGAGGCACCTCTTTCTTCCTCGATCCTGTCGACCGATTAAAATTTCTCGACAGAAGCGGCCGAAACCTCATTACGGACGACTCAATTAACTTCGATCGCGACGGACGCCCCAGAGCGACGGCTGCTACGGAGAGCGGATGGTTCAGGAAAGATCGGCGTTTCCTTCCACCGGGAAACTTCCCGGAAAGTGATTTCCATCCTTCACCGCATTCTCTTGTTGAAAAATATCCGTTTCAACGACATTGCCGTCGGCGGGCTTCTCACCGAGCGACCGAGCACGCAGAATGTTTACGGCGGGGGGGGGGGGGAGCGGAAGAGCGGAGAGAATCCGAGGAGGGAGGAGAGAGTATGTTAATTACGGGATTGGCCCCGTTGTCACACAGGCCCCGTTTCAAACGACTCGCGGTGGTCGCAGTTACTGTGGAACTCCTCTCGTGAGTTCCTAAAGTGCGGTACACCGCGCTGCGAGAGCACGGCCAAGTTTCCTCCGGGCTGTAAACATCGAGTAATAAGCTTTCGCGAGACTTTTGCGCTTAGTTAGCCGCATTTGTTATGGTCACCGTGTACGCGGTTTGTCTGCTCCCTCGCTCTCTATGGCCAGCTTGTCAGAGGAAGAAGAAGAAGAAGAAGAAAGAAAAAAAGAAGAATACAACGGGTCGTCCTCCGCGGAAAAAAGTGTGAAAATGTTTGAAAAGCGTTGCGGGTACATAGCTGAGAGGTCAGCTTGGCAACTATCTCGCCTAGTCATTACCTTTCCCTTTTAATGCACCTTGCGATCATATTGTCCCTTTCATCGTCGCTAGCGTTGTCAGCCCATGCAAACTCCAACCGCAAGACCGTCTACTTCATATTCATAAGAAATAATATTAAAATTCACACATTCCTAACCCAGAAATTGCGAATAATGCATAGAAATTGGAACTCAATTCGAATGAAACCGGAATTTTTAGACTTTGGAAAAATTGATGTATAAATATGTATATATATATTTTTTCTGAATATTTACATACAAGTAAATTTTGTTGATAAAAATGGTACTCCGAAGAGATGGCAGAATTGTGTTCAAACACGGTGCTGCTTGTTACTACCTGTAATTTTTCAATACCACATAGAACAAATGTAATAATCTACAGCCTTTTCATATCGCGTTTCTCCACACCTGCAATCGGAGCAAACGTTTCATGTTTCATGTTTCAAACGTGTTTGATGTACATAAAAAAAATCCTGTAAATCCTTTTTATTTATGGGATATATACCACAAAATTGTAAAATTTTGTATTGTAAAAAATGTCGTGTAAAAAAAGGATGACAAAGTTTTTTTTTTGTTTACAATGACAATATCAATTCGCGAAAGCATTAAGCTTCTATTTAAAACGTGCGTGCAGGAGTGCGTAAAACTATATCATTGATAGACCAAACACGTTGTCAATGCTCTCCTAAAATTATTGTATAGTTTTGCAATTACTTAGATTACATGCCAGAATTACGCTCTATATACTATATGGAGACCGAATATAGTATGTCAAGAATCGTTCCAATCGAATCTTTCTCCGTCTGTATTTGGAAAGCCGAGTGTGTATTACCAACGTTAAACATGTATACACAATTCGCAATATTTTCGCAGAAGGAATTACGCGGCAGCAATTAATGTTCTGACGCGTTCGTCGCGCCGTGATTTTTATTGTTACGAGGTCGTAAAGAGACGTTCCTTGTGACGGCAGCGCGCCATACCGTGCGCACCATCCAGATATCGTGAAAGCGTTTAGCATCCGACATAATGCTACTCTACGAGCTAAACTCAGGAGCGCTCTGGATATGTGCGCCCGCGTACATTGTCCCGAATACTTCCGGTTTCTCGTGGCGCGCTAACGTATCTCGGAAAACAACGGTTGGTTGCTCTTTCTCTTTTCCGCGTACCATTCGCCATATAACGTTTCCGCGACTCTCTTCCTCTCTATCTCTCTTGTCTTTCTTCCGTGTCCCGTTTTCGTATCCCTCGTAACTAAGTAATACCTCGATTTACGTAACGCGACACAATGGCAACGCTACTCGCAGCGTGGTATTCGCAAAGATTTTAATCAGGCGAGCGTGATACGAGTGTATGATGTCAACGTAGACCGAATGTTTGCCTGGCGAATTAAGCATGGAATTCAGTGCCGCATCGCTGTATCCGTGGTACAGCAAGTCGCGACGTCGATCTAGGCGATTAGGGTGGTTTCCCATACCGCAGGACGAAAATTAATTAATTTCGCTTTGTTTGACGAGAGAGAAATAGAAAAATGAAAATTGTGCAGCCAGTACGACGGAATGTGCAGATATCTATCAAATTATGAGTTTGTTGAAAGGCGAATTATAGAAGAATATTCGTAGCGAAAAATATTCATGCGAAAATATTATATCCCGGTGGAATTGAAAGATGCATCGAAAATGCACCTACAGCTAGCAACGTCGTGCATTAGCCGGTCTCGATTAAGGGAGCTTAATAGAATTTTCCACTGAAATTATGATGGACACATTGGACACGTTTATTAAAATTCGATAAAACTACATTAAACGCCTTTCACCAATCGTGACAAATAACAAAAGCAAATGTCGCCTTTATGAACGTTTTGCACACGCGCGTAACGATTTATCATTCATACTTGTATAACTCATCGATACGTTCCACACTTGCAATCTCAATCTAATCATCAACGTATATGGATAAAAAGTGATAAGATCAGCAAGTTTCGGACGCGACACAATTCCGCTGATTCATTGAGAATGAAATGCTCTGCGCGTGTAATTAGCAGTGGGACAAACAGATCGCAATATCCGTGTCATGCGCTATGGCGGTATATGGTACCTGCTTTTAATAGAATTTACCGACTCTGATTGGGTATAGTACAAATATTTGTGAATTATATGTTCCACACTCTAACGCAATGCGGAATAATCGAGAGTATTGCTAAATCAGCTGCTTATTACCGATGTGGCTACTGATTACGGTTGAAATTATCATTCACTATTACGATACGGCGCGCGGCGCGGCATTGTGTCAGATATACGCGTTAGATATTCGCCGAAATACATTCACCGCATTTTGTGTGGAAATGCGAAAATTAATATTCTAATAGACGTTTCCGTCGTGAAAATTGAAATGGTGAGTTAATTACATGTACACTTTCTGAACATATTGTGTGCGAAATGTCACACGTGATAAAGCCCATTAAGTTGCACGATATTCACCATCCTATACGCGACTTTCGTAGCGTATATTCTATCCGCGCAATCAATGGAAGTGACTGATGCGTGCGCTCTATGCATGTAATTCCTTAATGCGGCAGGTCGCGTTTCTGGTTGTCGCACAATTTGTCTCCCGTAGGGATCGTCCGTTGAATTTCGACGTCAGAATCGGATATTTATGACACGGTCACGCTTCGCTTTATGACATTTCCCGATAGCTCGCGACGGGTAACGCGCGGTTAAGGGCATCGCCGGATAACGCGTGTTACGTTCGATCGGACATGCCCCCGATCCGATATTCATTTGCGGCGCGGCGCGGCGGGGCGCGGCGCGGCGTCTGAAACAGCACGTCGCAGAGCGTGTGGATATCGAACGTTGAAATATGTGACGCACCTCTAAATTCAAAAAAATGATGATTATTGGAATTATTTCACTACCCTAGAGAATTCTGCTTT